GGATCACTGGGACAAACGGAAGTTCCATTTTTATTTTGTTTAGGAAATTCCATACTGTCTTCCCTAGTGGCTGCACCAGTCTGCATTCCCACCACCAGTGCACAAATGTTCCTTTTTCTCCACATCCTCTCCAGCACTTGTCGTTTGTTGATTTGTTGATGATAGCCAGTCTGACAGGCGTGAGATGGTACCTCATTGTTGTTTTGATTTGCATCTCTCGGATGATTAGTGACTGAGCATGTTTTCATATGTCTCTTGAAGGCCAATAAGTTTTAAAAGTGCAATGGGCAACACACACACAAAATCATTTTGCCCTGCTCAGGTAGCTCAGTTGGTTAGAGCATCATCTGGATATGCCAAGGTTTTGGGTTCGATCCCCAGTCAGGGCACATACAAGAAACAACCAATGACTACATAAATGGGTGGAACAACAAATTGATGTTCCTCCCCTTTTTGTCCCCCTTCTTCTTTCTCTCTAAAATCAATAAATTTTAAAAAAAGTATTTTAATTATTTCCACAGGTGTCCTATCTATCATCTTAAAGGGGAAAATGGAGGAAACTGACAGTTATTTTACTCACAGGGTAAATTTGCATAATTTCTTCCTTCTGAAGTTTAAGAGTTCTGAAATGATGGTCATAAAGTCTACCGGCTATTTGCAAAATGGACACAGTAGTATGTTTTCCTGGTTAAAGGACCATCTCTCCATTCAGAGTCTCCAGAGAGAAAGCAACTATCTAAAAGGAAAAGGTTATGAAAGGGCCTTTTGTAGGTACAGTGATCTTATGGTGCGGACAGAAGAATTTATTTCCTCTTAAGTGATCCTCATCAACATTCCCAGCACACTGCAGGGAGATTTTTTTTTCTATCCATCATCAATTCTGTTCCTTTTTACACCAAGAGCAGGGTAACCAGTTCATAAAAGAGCTTTGCAATAAACTGCTCCCTCCCTATCATTTCTAGTAAAGACCTGTTTTTGTTTTTGTTTTCAGAGATAAAGAATCTACTTTGTCAAATATATTCTCCCTATCACTTTTTCTTTCATTGCAGAGATGCTTAAATCCTGACCTAAGGAGGTTTCTCTTCAGTATCTACCTGTCCAGACCATCAGCATGGTGACGGTGGTTTCCACGGGGGATTTTCCAAAAGGGGATCTCTGATCACGGGGAACTGAAACTCTTATGTCACTATTGGCTGGACAAAAACCAAAAGCAGCATTAGGGAACATTCTGAATTAAGAATCAATAATCTAGGAAACAAGATGCCAAAATTTAGTCAAAGAATTAAAGGAATTTGGTAAGCAAGACCAACAGGGTAAACTTACCATTACTTTATCACAGATAACTGAAGTTCTTTATAAAGGAGAATCAAGGTAAAATAAGCTGAATTCCAGAAAGAAGAAAAGGAAAACAGTCTAAGAGTATCAAGAACTCTGTGATTCAAAGTTATTTTGCTAAACATTTTAAAAGCCAAAAGGATCAAGTTACATTTCAGCATAAAAAAGTTATTTCTAGTTTTAAATGAATTCATTCCAATAATAAATGACAACTTCAGTACACACTTTCTTCTACACCAGAACTTAAGAAGTCACTAAATACAGTCTCATTCCACATTTTTAAGGCTAGATTGGCAAAATGGGTGAAACCTTTCACTCAAAAGACTATTTCGTATACTGGAGGTTCTTTCAGTGAACTTGTCCCTACCTTAAGGATGGTAGCTCTCCTTTTCACTGATGTTGTTTCTGGAGCCCTTCATTTATCTTCCACAATGGGCAAAATATGGGTAAAAATCACAACAATCCACCTAGGAACTAACAAACAATTCTACACCCAAACATTCTGCCAAAGTTCAATTTTTATTTCCTTACCACACTTCATGACAATAAATATCCAGCAACAAACTTAACCAAGTGTGATACAACACTTCCTATAAAATGAGTGGAGGCACCTAATAAAACAGGCAGCAACAAACGTCTAGCTTTCCTCTACTCCAATTTTAAGATCCAAATCAATGATTCACCAAGTAGTGACCTAACTTCCTATATGAATCACCCTTTCCAAAATTCTTATTCTACATCCCTAGAATACTAGATCATCATCTTCTGTATTTGCTAAACAGAACATGATGTTGGTAAAACAGGGTTAATTCTGCAAGACTGTCAAACCACAGCAAGCCTCCAATCCCGGCCAACTCACTCTTATCTGCAACACTGTGCCTCCTCCAAAAACAGATTCATCCCCCAAATAAAATGTTATCTTGAAAAAATGTTATTTTAAACATTAAGAAAATCAGCCATCCATCCCCTGCCTCTGCCTCTCCCTCTCAGATGCCATCACTGTATCCACACTCTCTTCCTATCGTGGATTAAAAAAAAAAGGAATGGCCACTCTGTTATCCTCACACACCTTTGAGTCAATTAACCTACTCGACAGGTTTTTTTCCCCCTATTTATGGCAGAAATGCTGAGTCATTAAATGGAAACTCAAAGAAAACGAGCTACACATTAAAGTGTAGGATAAAAATATTCCCCTCGCCACATCGCAGCAGCCTGTTTGTATCTCCCGCAGTGAAAAAAGTAGAGCAAACCCCTGAACTTTTCCGCTTCCCCCCAACCACCCTCGCTCACCCCGCCCTGCCCCCCATAATAAAGGAAACAAGGTGGGTTTCCGTAGGTCTTCCTGCTTCCCACAGGATCTTCCCAGGCAGGAGAAGCAGGCCTGGCTGGACTATATAACTTAACAATCCGGGTGTGCATAACACCCCCTATTAGTCAAGCATGAAGCCTGACGCTCCTAGCCAGCGCCAGTTATGCCTGCACTTCAGTTCGGGTCAAGGAGGAAGAAAAAAAAAATGCTACGCCCTCCACCGGCCCGACACCGTTCCCTGGGTGGACCGGCTGGGACAGACCCGAGAGTGCCGCGTCCGGGAAGGAGGGGAAGGCGCCACGGGCACCCGGGGCAGAGGGACAGCAGCCCGCTCAGCAGCTACAAGGCGAGCAACACCTTC